AGAGTTCGGCTCTGTCAGCCTCTGCCCTGTCTCAGGGCCAAACTTAGGTAGGGTAGGGAGCAACTGTGGATTGCCTGGTCCGGGCTAAGGGACATCTCTTGGGGCCTATGGATAAGGAGCATCCCCGGTTGCAAGCGTAGGGTTGTAAGTTTGTAGGGTTCAGTGGGGCAGCTTGGCAGTGACACAGAGAGGCTGAGGGAGGGCTGCAAAGGTAAAAGGCTCGAGGAGTAGAGATAAACAATTAGAATAAGGGGTACAGGATGGGATATAAGGTAGAGTACAAGTGTTCCCCACTGTGAACCCCAACTCTGAACAGCAGCTCTCACAGCACCCTTATTTCTCTGAAACAGCTGCAGGCAGGAAACCTAAAGCAGGAGAGTGCCAGAACCCCAGAGAGGTGCAGGCAGTAAACCTTGTACTAGGGCCATTTCAGAAGAGATAGCATTTGTGTACAGCCCACTGCTGTGGGATAACTGAGGGTTTCCTGACCCGGCCTGCCCTGGACTCCCTGTCCCTCCACAACTGGGGAGCTTCTAACCCCTCATCAAGGTGGTGGTCATTCAGTTCCACACCAATACTGCCCTGAAGAGTTTGGCTCTGCAAGCCTGAGCATCCTAGCAGGACTGAAGCATACAGCCCCAGGACCTGGGCATTCCCAGGAGACGGTGAGTGCTGCGTTTTCGTAGATGTGCTGAGAAGATCTCACATTGATATTTGGATGTCTTTATTGTAGCTGACAAGGAGACAACAGCATGGTGATGGCAGGAACTCGGCAGACGGCGAGGCGGCATTCCTTGGCAGCCCGTGTGGACTCTCACCCCCCGGACGTCCGAGAGCTAACTCAAAGGCTACGATCCGCAGAGGGGGGATGGAAGCGGGGTGCCGGGCTGGGACTCGTGGCCAGGAAGTTTTGAGTCTGCTTTGGACGTAGCGAGGTTCAAGAAGTGGCCCTTTAGGCCACCTCAAGGGAAAGCCTCACTTTGGCTCCCAATGCCGAGGTGCACAGGGCAGAGCGGTCCGGGGATGTGTCGGGTCACTTGTCTGTCGTGCCTTATGTGCACCTCGTGTCGTATGTGTCTTGCCTTAGCCCTTCCAGGACGTTACAGGAAACCCTGGCGTCACTCTTAACATCTCTGATCTCTTGGCTCCTCGGCCTGGCGCTGACACTGTCAGAGCTGTGCCTCGGGACCTCTCAGAGGCCTTGGAATCCCATCTCTGTTTTTAAGCGTCCGATCGGGTGTCTTTAGAGGTCTTGTTCTGAGCTGTGGCCACAGCCGTGCGCCGCAAGGATCCATTGTAGCGGGCTAGGACTTGTCCGAATGCAAGGACAGACAGAGAATTGTGGCCGTAGGATTCTCGGGCATCCGTATTGGCGCTTCTCGGGATAAGTCATCGTGTCAGCATCTTCTTTCTTCAGGGCTGTCTCAGCCTTATCAGCTTGCCATCATTCTCACCTGGGCCATCTTGTTCCGCATTCTCTCGGTCCTTGCGGCCATTCTTCTGGCCCGGAGTTTTGTCTCTCTGTTGTGTCCCCTTGTCTGTTGTCTTGTGTGTCACGGGTGTCTGGGTGTATTTGGGTCGGAGCTGCTCTGCCCTGCTGCAGAGGCTGGCTGTAGGTGTAAATGGACAAATCCTGGAAGGGCTAAGGCAA